TGTCCTAATATTTTACCACCACGAAGACCAGAAGTTATATACAATCACTCTCAAGCAGAAATTTTGTAACTAAAACTCACATGTGCTGTTTAAAATACACAGGCTACATCGGCTGGATTTTTCGCTTAGACACAAGCGAAGAATATAATATTATACTTTGTTTTTTACCAAACACATTTCTGTATTCAATCTCTCTTACAATGATATCAATGTATATATCTGACTAGTATAGAGAGAAAATAGAAAAAAAATGCGACGTATCTATATATATATATAGCTGAGAGGACAACATTTCTTATAGTTTAACATACAATAGTTTTTTAAAAAATGTCGATTGATCAACTTAAGGTAGATTTTGCTTTTCCTTTTTTCGTTTTGGACCATCAGCTGCCTAACAGTTTAAATGATAATTTCTTCAGCTGACATAATTTGAAAGAGCACACCTTCTTACATATTTTTGAAAAGTTGGTCAATAACAAGCTTTTCATAAAGTACCTAAAAAGTGAAATTAAAAAATTAAATTTTTTCGAAAATAGTCTTCATTTTAAAATTTAAATATCTCGGCTAGCATTAAACATAAACAAAATATTTTTTTTGCCATTCGATAGCCAATTAATTCTCTACAACCGACAGAAGATTAGTTTTTTAAACAATGCTTCTTCAGTTTGTTATAATGATACTGCCGATGCCCATTTAAATGGACATGGGGCTTTAAAGGGTTAAGGATACCTCCCTCTTTTTTGTAGAAACGTTTTCATTTTGAGTTGAATGTAGTCTTATGTAGAGGAAAGTCTGGACTATAAAATGAGATCGCTCCCAGCTCTCCATGGCGTTCCTTAAAAAAATTATGAAGTTTTTAAGCTTTTCCTTCGAAGCCTAGNTGTAACAGGATGCATTCATTTGTTCCCTATGTAGAAGACACATTTGTTGTGTCCTCCAGTATGTTTTTGATAGTCCCTTGAATTGGCACACATTACGACCCTTCGGAAAAATGGTCCGACCGAGCTCAAAATTTTACCACAGATACTTCATACCCTGTCTCAGATTCGTTTATTTTTTAAAGCGTTTACGATTCCAACTTTCGACGTGAGAAGGTTTTCAAAATGAAAAACTGGTTTTTCATATTGGATTTTCAGTATTTTTCGAATATCTCGAGAAGGAAACAACATTTTTCGAAAAGAAAACCAACAGAACCTGAGATAGGGTCTAAAGTATCTGTGGTAAAATTTTGAGCTCGATCGAACCATTTTTTCGGGGGGTTATAATGAGGTCTGATGAAAACTGGAGTTTTCTAGAAAACCCATATAAGAACATCTCAGAAAATTCTGGGCAAAAATACATTAACTTTCTTTTTCGATGTCCTATCTTTGCTATAAATTGGAGCTCAATCGGACGTGTCCTCCGCATTTAGCAACAAGATGAAAAAGAGGGGGGGGGGGCTACTCTTAATCATGGGTGTCTGGATAAATAATCGAGTGCTCCATTCTTAATTCCTTAAACATATTTGACTTCAATGATTTGCGGAATAAAGTCTTTAGTTTTGAATAATCAATTTTCTATTCTTGAATTGTATCTATTTGTCTTCTTATGGAAATTTACGAGCGGTTTGTATGGTTAATAAATTGTTGGTTACCAATATAGTCGCGTAAGTTAGTAATACACCAATAAATTTCTAATGCTTCCAACTCAGTTGGCATTTATCGTTTTTAAGCTACGTTTAGAATCCTGGACAAATAATAATTAATGTTGACACCACTGGATGTTCGCTGATGCAGTTGTGCTTGTTTCCTAATTGTTCTATCATTGGTTGTGGATAGGAATCCTTCTTGGTGACTGCATTTAATTTACGATAATCAACAATGAAATCGCTTGGAATTTCCTGATTTCTTTTCTACATACACACTAGACATGCCAGGAAGTAGTCTGGTGGAAAGCTCATGACAAAATATGCTCTTTCCAATGATGTACTGTACAAAGTTTAAAGAGACTGTCATCTGGGTTGTCTTCTAGAAGGTTGTCCATAGAAGAGCACGTCCGAAAACTCTAGGCAAAAATATATCGATTTTCTTTTTCGTTGTCCTATTTCCGATATAAATTTCGCCTCGATCCGGCATCGACTTCCCCGATTTCTAGGAGGGTCAAAAAGAGAGTGGGAGGTATCCTTAAATAGTTATGATTTATTTACTCCAAAACCACATTCTGTACGGATAATTTTGACGCGTGTGTACGAGTAAATGCTAGAATTTGAAAGAAAGTTTTTTATTTTATACTTCAGTTCGACATTATCGTTACGAAGAAGAATTTACAACAACATTAGACGAAGAGTCAAGAAGAGCAAAATTTAAAGATGAAAAAATGTCTATGCCAGATATCTTGACCATTGGTGCAAAAAATGCTGAACATGAAAATTCATGGAAGGGTGGGCGTTTGGCTGATTTATCTATATGGAATTGTTGGTTAGAACGAAAAGAAATCTGTGCTTTATATCAACAAAAATGTTCTATTGATCAAATGAAAATTGGTACATATTTATATCAATCGTCCAACAAATATTCATCATCAACTGTTCAAGAAGTGGAAAATCAGGAATAGTGTAAAAGACCATTAGGCATTTACAAAGAAAATGGTGAACATCTGCACAGTGAATTCATAGGTGGAAAATATACAAGAAAAATTTACTAAACAGTGGCTTTTAACTTTTTAGAAAATCCTTTTAATGAAGAAAAATTCAATAAATTCGAAGGGTCTAAAACTTCGAAAAACTTTTCGGTTCAAATTCAAATTTTTTTTCTTTTTCGTTCTTCTAACTTTTCGAACGTACTTTTCGCAGATTCATAAAAGCTGCGTACCGTTGACATAGTAAAATCAAGATATCCCTGGATTCTCAGCAAATAGAGACCTGTAGTTCTTGTGAAAGGCAGATAATTTGCAAAATAAATGATCTTAAAAGTTTATTTCTGTGACTTTAAAGCCATCCATTAATCTTTACTTGCCAACAGCCATGAGTTCTACAGTAACAAAAGGGTACTTCAGGACAGTTCGCCCAGTATTCTATCCGAAAACGAGATTTTCTCTTCTGACATTCGAAAAGAATTTTTGACCGGAGGGCCTTATCTGCATCAACAGATATCATCCGTTTTATAGCGTGTTGGACGAACTCAAAGTCTAACGAAACATAACTTTATTTATATCAAACGAAAACGACTTTCAAGTTTGTTTGTATGACGCAACAATGAAGTCTCCAGTACTTTTTACTTCTTCATGGTAAGCGTAGCCATTAGACCTACTTTGGCCCTTCCTGGCCTCCTCCCTCGAAAACTATAAGTCAGTTCTTCGAGATCTTGTTAGGCTACACACTTCTCGACTAGTGCTACAAAAGGCGTAAGGTATTGACTTTAACCAGGGAGTTTTTCTTATAGCGGTTTTCTACAAATTCCGACAAAATCCTCAACTGCTCATAAATATTGATCCAAAATAATCTGAAATTCGGATTACGACATTTTATGATAATTTAATATCCTTTTCCGTTCCTGACCCTAGTCAGATGATAGGGTTTTTATGGAATTTCTAGAAAACCGCCACTAGCTAACGAAGACCATTCAAACGTGTCCCCTCGCTATTTGCCCGAAATATAGCTGATTACAGGTGATCGACAATGTTGATTCCGAATATGGTAGCCATATGGGCTCTTATTGATCTTCCAGATATTCAAGATTTTCTGGAAGCTCTAAAATCTAAAACTTTTTCTGACGCAGTTCCGAGATCGAAGACAAAACTTTGGATGTTATCTATGCAGTACAGTGTGCCGTAATCACAAGAACTCCTTTATTCTTTATTTTTCGGTAAAAGCTGGAACCAATCTGAATACGGTTTTGGATAGCCCGAAGATTTTCCTATCAGGATTGGTGCATATCGCCGTTTTAGAAGAAAAGCTAATAATAGGGCTTCTGAAAAACCTGACCGCTAGAAAACCAAGTCCTAGGTTTTTGATCAGAAAATTTTGCGACCATATAGTCTGATAGAGTAAACAATTCGGAGGAAAATAAGGCATCTTCCGGCCGTCTATAACGCTTTCCACGCAACTGCAGTCAATTTATGAATGGCTACAAAGGGCGTGAAAAATACCAAATCATTCCTATGACAAACCCCGAGATGTCTTATTTTCCTCAGAATTGTTTGCTCTACCAGGCTATATGGTTCGAAAAATTTTCTAACCAAAAACCAAGGCTCATTTTGAAGCCAGGAAAATTCTATATCTTTCTATATGTAAAGCATTCCGGTTCTGAGTGGACGAGTTCAAGAAATATTCGTTTAATAAGATAGGTGAAAATGATGATATCTGTCTAATATTTCGACAATTGTCCTGTATGAGCATATTTTTGAAAGCCTCCTTTATAGCTTATTCTGCCCCAGAAAATTCTCTGAGCTTTGCTCGAGGACTTTGAAATTGAAGGAGAAATTTGCAGAAAAAGGTAAATGGCTTTTGTTGAACTCATGGCGAAAAATGAAACGTAATTTATTTTTCAAAGACACCAGAAGGAGTTTTTGAAAGTGGGAAGTGAAAAGGAAAGCATTTTCGATCATTTTTACTCAAAATCATATTGGGTCATTTTCTAGCAGAAATCGTTTCCCGTCCATTCTTTGTTCGGTATGAAGAAAAGCAAAAAAAGTCATCAAGCACGCATTCTGTTTGTTTTTTTTGAAGGAGAGTGATGTATACATATCCAGTAGACCTGATAATTGAAATTAAAGTTAAACTCCGGGTGAATTTACGATAAATATGTGACTGAGCAGATCAGTCCATAGGTGGCCTCAAGTTGAATAACTCACTTTCGAAATTTTCCACCTAGGAAAGGTGAATAAATTCGTGAGAATAACGAATAAGCCAAGACTTCAGTCGCTTATGGCATAACCTTCAAGTTTTATATTCTTCTCTAACTCATTTGAATGTCTAAAATGGATAAAGTCAGGTATGTCAGTTTGAATATTGCTTACTCGAGTGCAACTATTGGGTAACTACAGTAGAAATCTAGTAATCGGGCGATTGCCAGATTTTTTCTAGTTGCAACTATCGATTTATCGCCCAATAATCGATCGATTTAACTATTGCTCGTTACACATGAAGACATATCTAGTTAAAAGTCCCTTTTCCAATTAGTAATCTAGGTGGCAACTAGCCGTGTATCGCCCGATTCTGGACGAAAAAACATCACGTGTCAAAGACGAAGACATGTAATAAAAGCTATAAAATCAACTTCTTTCGAGCAAAATATTTTAAAAAAATTATTCTAAGAAAGATTCTAGGCGATCAAGCCTGTTTCTTCTCCACATTTTTCATGAAAGCTTACCAGCGTCGCTCTGAACGGTGGATGCGCCGGAAACTAATATATAGTTCGTAATGATAGCGCATAAGCAAATCGGTGTATGATTAAGATAATAATAATAATAAACGTGTGGAATTTGAAGAGGTTGGAAGTTCCATTCAATAAGAATCGAGAGAGAGAACGCAAGAAAGTGCGGGAAGAGATCTTCTACGGCTCACATTTTACAAGTAAATATTTTGTGAAACTGAGGAAAAGCATGTTTGTCCGTCCGTTCCAGCATAAAGGAAAGGGGAATTTGTTGAAGTTAAAAATTAGCCTTTTTTTTATTAGGAGCACTTTTAAACTTAAGTGTCAGCTTTCGTTTTCTGAAGTAATGCATGAAGTTTTCACGTAATCGCCTTTGCAATTTGTATTCAGACCAGTCTCTATCTACTCAAACGCAATTGTCGGAGGACATTGGGGACGTCCAACACAGCATACCGTTCAAAATTGTAACAGTTCCCAAAGTACTGAATTTGACTTTTGCTACTGGCTGTATGTGGCAGCGTACGCCAACTTCTTTAATGTATTTATAGTCCTTTATTGTCAAAATTAGGATAAAAATTGTTTTTTTTTATGTTAGTGCTTTTTGTTCTTTCTAATTTTTCTCTACAATTAAAGGCATTTATTATGTATGGTGACTATGACAATATAATAGCCACTATCAGCTACAACTAACAGTATTTGAAAAAAATTTTTATCATATGCTACGTGTTACACAATATGCTGAACTCACGTTCTAAAATACGCAACCTTTACAAGTGGAAAAAATATCAACGGCCGTCATAGCGATGTAGAAGCTTAGCACGAGTGTCCCTAGTAGCTTTTGATGGCTGAGCAGTGATGCACTGCTAGGGGGAGATTATGCCCCTGCTTTTTGAAAAGTTTACTTCGAAATCAGGATTTTCTAACTCCGAAAATTAGGTCTTTGACTTACCAGAATATTCACTGCGAAGTGAGCACGGGAGACAGATTTAATTGGTTCTCCCTTACCAATTGACTGTTCTTTCAATGAAGTGTTCCCATCGGGAATTCTTGAACATAATTTCTTGTAGTTGAAGGAGAATGTCAGTGACAGAAGGAATTAGAGCTCATTTAAGATGATTTATCTTTTATTAAGTGTTAGAGATGTTAATTGTTTAACTGAAATGGAAAAAGTAGTTGACAAGTAAATCCACTGGGCGTGCTTCATAATGGACTGACAGTTAGTGATTATGATTACTCGTAGCTGAGGTGAATGACGAAGAATAGTGACATACTACTTACAATTGCTTACAATTGATTACAGCTATCAATTGTGAGATGCTGCACTAAACATCGGATGTGCCATGATGCTTTATCTATTCGATACCGAGTATGCAGGCAAAGCTTGTGCAGGGTGGAAAGTGCGATTATTGATGAAAGACGTGTTGTACTTTCGATTTGATGGCACAATAATTGAATGTTGATCGACAGTGATGCGAAAGAACAAGTAGCAATATGCTTCAAAATAACTTCTAGCAAAATTTTCATCCAAGTTTTCTAGGAAATGGTCAAGAAAATGCTACGAATCAAATCAAATTTCTTCACAGTATCAAATTCGACCGTCCAGGTAACCTGTATGTTGCCGGTCGGTATAACCATTGAATTCAGAAGTTTATGACTGATAACAGCAACTGTTTTCGTAAGTTTTGGTAGTTCGCAAAACTTTAACATTACTATCTCTCTCCCACTTAGTCCGAAGTGGGAAGACAAACATCGGAGTTGATTTAAACAAGAAAACTAACACAAACCCAAAGAAAATAAAATAGCTGATGGGGCTAGCGAAAGTCCTTCCGTTATATATTAAGAACTACTGGAAAATATTTAACAATCACCTTATCCGTTCCACCTAATCTCTTTTGAAAGAACATCAGACAGTTTCAACTTCAATCATCTAACACACACAGAGAAAGAAAGATATTGGCATATATAATACATGACTAAAAAAAAATTTCCTCTATTGCGTTATTCCGTACGTATGGCCCTCACCATCACACAAAGACATTTTGATATGGGCATGAAGATAACGAACCATATACTCTAAAGGAGTTTCACAAAATCATGCGTCACACCTCATTTTCAATTGGCGGACTAACATAAATTCTTCTTTTTTTCTGCGCCTGACTTTTATTGTCTTCTAATTTTGATAATGACCAATCTTTTAATGTTAAAACTCTAAGAAGCATTAAATTGTCAAGAATTTCAGTA